CCACGTCCACGGTCCTACTCTGGAAACGATGATGCATACAATGGACTCCGGACTAGGCTAAGTTTGTTAATGTTTGTTTTATCTTATTTTGTTTTTATTGGCTTTTTTTAATCACAAACTTCTTTTTTTTAAAGCTATACCTCTTTTGGCTGGTTGATTGTTTTTTCTAGTTTGTGCGGTTATGGGTTTCTGTTGTGTGGTTGGGGTAGCAATACAAAGTATTCTTTGTTTGGTGCGGTTCGTGCTGCGTTATTAGTGTTACGTTTGAGAGTGTTTTGATGTATTTAGTTGTGTTGGTTGGTTTGTTGATTAAAATATGGTATTAGTGCCTATAGGTTGGATCTTGGTTTCATAATATTGGGTGGTGTGGTTGCCTATCCAATAATTTTGATTTTTCTGAATCTGAGAGTGATTTGGTTAGTGGATTTAAAACTGATTATTATGGGTTGTTTTTTGCTATAATATTTGCTTGTGAGTATGCAATAATGGTTTTTTTTTGGTTAGTTTGTCTCAGTTATTTTTTGAGCTGTGTGTCTTGAGATATGATTTTTTTATACATACTTTTTAAAATTTTTTTTCTGCTGTTTTTCCGCAAATTTGTTATGAATATCTTGTTTCGTTGATGTGAAAGATTGTATTATTGCTTATGTTGTTGTTGATTGTTTCTGGTCTTGTTTTTGTTTATAAAGATTAAATTTAGATTGTAAGGCTGTTAACCCTTAGGTGATATGCTGATTATCTATAAGCGTTTGTGTTTTTACTTGTCTGAATTTAGTTAATAAATAACGTGTGTTTTGGGGATACAAGTTTTTCTGTGAAATAATTAGATGTTGTTGATAGGGCTGCAAATAGCAGGTTACTCTGATATAGTGATTTGTGGGGATTATTCTTCCGTCAATTGTGTTGTTGAATAGTTTCTTTTCGTTTGTTGGTGTCTCAACATCCAAAACAACAAAATATTTTTTTCAGTTTATGAATCCTAATGAGTGTGGGTTTAAATCATTCGGGGCGAGGGTGATAAAATTTAGGTTGAGGTTTTTGCTAGTATTAGTTTTTTTTTGTTTTGGATGTTGAGATAGTATTATTATTAAAAGTGGGTTTGTCTGATATTTCTTGGGGATC